GCGCCAACCTGTTGTCCTACTTCTTCCAGAGCAGCCCTATCTCTCAAGCCTTCACCACAGTCGCCAATCCAACCTCTGACGTCTTTCTTGCTCCTCTCCAGTTGCGGTTCGACGCTGTTACCATCACCAATCTGTTGTCCTACTTCTACAACAGCACCACCTCTTCGGCCTTCATCGCAGCCGCCAATCCAGCCTTACCTCGCCAGACTCCCTCCTCATCAAGCAGTTGTCTTTTTTTTTGAGTCATTAGTTGTAATTCTTTGTTTTGTGCTTTGTTTTGTATGTTGTCTTTCGTTATTTCGAGTCTTCATTGTAACCTCGTTTTATGTCAGTAATAAAATTGTGTCCTGCATCGCGGTTTGGGTTAACTCCAGTATCATTTGGTATTATAGCTAGCCCAACCCCAGTCTCATTTCAGGGTTCCTAACATCCGCCCTTACCCAATCCACCACACCAATTTTTTTTTTTTCGTTTATGTTTTTTTCTCTTCTTTCTTTGTTCATTCTTTTTTTCTTTTCACATGTCTCAAATCATCAAACATACCGCCAAGGAGAAATATGCCCAAGCCTACCCGGGAAGACATACAGGCATAACTTTGTTGTCTCCAACAAAAAATTGCAGAGATTGAAGAGATGACACGGGAAGAAGTTACCTTCGACCGAGACCTAGAGATTCGAAGGGGAGAGAGACAAGGATCTCAATCCCTTCCAATGGGATAATTTCAGCGATGAAGAAGATAGACCATGGCTTTTCGGAATTCAACATCAGAGGAGGCCTAAAGAGGGATACCTGCATTCCTCACACAAGGAAACTTTCCAAGAAGAGATGTCATTTAGAGGGCACTAAGACCACGAGATCAAGATAGATTTGTTCGAGTTAGTTTGAGGGGAGCATGGATCCGATTTATTGAATGGCTACAGGCAGTTGAGCGGATCTTCTAATACAAAGAGGCCCTCGAAGAGAATCAGGTCAAATTAGCTACTATCAAATTGAAGAAAGTGTCTCCATATGGTGGGAGAATGTATAGCGACAGAGGAGGCGAGAAGGCAGCGAAAAAATCATCGAATGGGAGATGATGAAGAAAACCATACTGACGACTCATTACCTCCAATTCATGTTTTTGAAACTCCGCAATCTACAGCAGAATGACCTTTCAGTGGAGGATTTTACAGCTTAGTTCGACCACTTATGGTTGAATAGAGCCTGAGGAGAATACAGTAGTCAGATATGTTGGGGGTTTGAAGCCTACTATTAATAATGTGATGCAGCTGCAGTCGTACTGGACACTCGGGGATGCCCAAATACTAGCATTGAAAGTGGAAAGACAACAAAAGCAAAGCCGACAGCCACCACCTGCCAAGCAGCCACCACCTGCCAAGCAGCCACCCACAGTTGGAGACACCAGTAGGAGCACGCCGCAGAGAGTTGTGGAAATTGGTTCAGATACGAATAGAGCCACCCCCAATGAGAAGAAGCAAACTATAGTGTCCATTAGAAAAGTCTCCAAATGCCATGAATTTGGGCACATAGCCTCCAGCTGCCCGACGAGAAGAGTTGTAACTTTTAGTCGTGTAAGAGATTAGCGAGGAGCAGGAAACTGAGGAACAGGGTGAGGAGCATCAGCTTCCACAAGATGATGGAGAAGCACTTGTGATTCGATAGACTGAGGACACGAGTAATCCGCAGTAGCTTCGATACAATATTTTCTACACCCGTCGCACGATGAACAAAAAAGTATGCAGTTTAATCATCGACAACGGTAGTAGTAAGGATGTGATATCGACTCAGATGGTAGAGTAACTGGGACTCACGACTCAGAGGCATTCCCAACCATATTCATTGACGTGGCTGAAGAAAAATAGGGACGGCATCGACTGACATGGCCTATTAGAGTTTTCAATAGAGAGTCAGCTGCAGGACTATGTATGGTGTGATGTGGTCCCATGGATACAGAAACACGTATTCCTTCACCAAGGACAATTTGACCAGAAGATTCAGTACGATGGATACAGAAACACGTATTCCTTCACCAAGGACAACAAATGCCTCATTCTACTTCCGTCGGTAGCACTCGAGGAGACATGAGCCTTTACCAGGAGAGTAGCGGGACTGGTTTTAGTGACAATCGATTCTCTACCAGCATGCAAGTGATTTTAGTCCCAGGAGATTGGACCGAGATGGAGGTGCGCTCACAAGTACCTTGGGAGGCAGTACTATCGACAGTGAGATTCAGGTAATGCCATGATTAAAGATAAGGGACCGTAAGCTTTGACAGGTGAGATCTAAGCTCCCCAAACCCCGGGAGACTGATGTGGGGTTTGGGTGAAGACCTACCGGTTCTCAAGGAAGGGGGGTTGCTGCCCCCTCCTACCTCTTCACTCATTTCTTTCTTCCCTCCTTTTCCTTTTTCCTTCATTTCCTTATTTTCTTATTTTCTTATTTTATTATTTTCTTTACCTGCACTTTTCTTTTTTAAAACCTTTCCTAAAACTGAAATCTAATTTTTATTCTCTTTTCTAATTTTAAATCATTTCTTAAAACAAAAATTTTATTTTTATTCTCATTCATAATTTAAAATCATTTTCTTAAATCTGAAATATGATTTTATTCTCCCTCCTTATTTTAAAAGTCTTTCCTAAATTTTGTAATGTGATTTTATTCTCCTTCTTATTTTAGTGTTTCCTAATTTGGTCAAGTCTCTTTATAAATAGGAGTTGATGTCTATAGAGTTAGGGGTCTTATTTTTGATATATGAATTCAGGTTTTAGCCTTGGTATTTTCTCTTTGAGGGTTGTATCCGACGTCGAGGTAGTGCTCCGGCCGTCTCTCGTCTGAGGTGGTGATTCTCTCGAAGGGTTCAAGTGGTGCTCTGGCTGTATCTATTCCCAGTTTAGGCATTTATCTTACCATGCTTTCGTTTCTCTGCTGCCATTTCAGAACCTAGCTACCGCAGCCGCCTCTGCTGCTCCTTTCAACATCCTGACATCCAACAACCCCTGCTGCCCTCCTTCCAGCTCCACCGGTCACCTCCTCCTGCAGCTTCCCTACAGGCCACACCCTCCAACACCTCTTGCTTCTCTCCTGCTGCTGTTCGACGTCGTTACTATTGCTAACCAGCTGTCTTACTTCTTCCACGGCAGCACCACCTCTTCGGCCTTCAGCGCAGTCTCCAATCTAGCCTCCGACGACGTTTCTGCTCCTCTTCAGCTGCAGTTCGATGCCGTTACCATCGCCAATCTGCTGTCCTACTTCGTCCACAACAGCCCCACCTCTCTGGCCTTCATCGCAGCCGTCAATCCAGCCTCCTCTCTTCGGACTCCCTCCTCATCAAACGGTTGTCTTCTTTGTTGAGTCCTTAGTTGTAATCCTTTATTGTGTGCTTTTGTTTTGTTTTTTGTCTTTTTTTATTTTGAGTTTTCATGTTAACCTTATTTTAGGTCAGTCATAAAATTGTGTCATGCGTCATTATTTGGTTTAACTCCGATATCATAGATCTTCATTGATACCCTCCTTACGTGATCTCAATAATATGTTGTTATGAGTAGCCTTTTCAATTGAAAATATTGTGTTGTTATTGGATAGCCTTTTCTTGTGAAAGTGGGCTCAACCTCTAGACCTCATTTTATTTGGGGAGATGGCAACAAACTCAATGCACGGACTTTATCATTGAAGTTGGTATCAACTTTTAGCTTAACTGTTGTTTTATCATACCAAACTATTTTATATACTTTTGTCTATAACTGTCTCCCTCTATGATGAGATAGAAATGCTTTCCATTAGAGATACCTTATTCATTGTTGAAAGCTTTCTTCATGTTAACTATGTGATTTTTTCATGTAATATATTAAAGGCCGTTTATAATATCAGACTTTCAATTCTTCATGTTTGTCTATTCAAGATATCACCAACAGTTTTGCTTATGATTGTTAGCTTCATCCCTAGGGGAGCGTTAAAGAGAGCTTTTTCTGATATATATAGGCGATCCTTGATCTACATCTCCCAGTACCCAAAATCATGTTGCTAGACTTGTTGTAACGAGTGAAGTGCCAAAATAGTCATCTCACTATTTTCATGAGGTAGTTTTAGTCACAGAGCCTATAAGGTGTCAAATTAGTCCCCAGACTCTTTAAATTGGGACTGAAATAATCTTTCATGGTATTTGAGCACATATAAAAGAAATTTTGGGAACTAAATTTGTATTTTTATAAGCTCTGGGACTAAAATGACACATCTGCAAAGTGTCAAGGGACTATTTTCACTTTTTTTTTTTTTTTTGTAACTCACCTTCTCAACCTTGATTATCATTGCTCTCACTAATCCTTAATGACCTCAATACTCAGATCTGATGCAAGTTCTTAGGGAAAAGAGCATTTGTGAGAGCAATAATGAAACAAATGCATTGGAAATAAATTGGCTAGGAAAATATCAAAATTAATAGACAGGAATTCATGTGTTTAGTCATGTAATCAATATACACAATGGCATAGAGAGCTATTTCCATTATATCAAAGAATTGTGGAAGTTATCACTAATTTCCTCACGTTTGTATCAAGAGACCCGTCGGGTTATTGCACCTATTGCTCTCCCTGAAACCTCATCTTCTTGAAGCCTGTTGATATCCTCTTGGCCACCAGCAATTCTTTACTGAATACCAACAGTGGTCCCTTTATTGGCCTGTCAGGGAGAACTCAAAGGTTGCTTCCTCCTGAACGGGCTGCAACCATGCGGCCAAAGCCTGGTATGAATAAATGATTGAGGTCGTTTGTGTAACAATAAATTAGAAAATCTACTGGGCTTTTGATTAGTAACTTTGTTAAATAAAACAGACTTTGTTTGCAAAAAAAACTTTTCAACAACTGATTTTCTAACTCCAGATATATATGCGTTAATCAAGGATTGCTTGGTGAGTTTTAACTCCCACATTTCATTTCCTATCTTCAAATTACGTATATGAAACGAAATAATATGGGAAGATGCTGAAATTTTATTTTCACCTGTAGGTATTCACAGTCAGAAAAACTTAGATGTTGAAGAAGGGGAAGATGATGTTCATGGAGATGATGTGGATGAACTTGAAGAGCTTGCCGCATGTGGTAATGATGAATTTTAGTGTTCAATTTCTATACAGCAGCGTGTGTTTCCTTGCAAAACTATGATCTTTTAACTGGATTGGGAAGTTTTTATTTGTAAAACAATTAACAAACAGCTAATTGGAGATTTTTCTTCATTTTTTATTATATTTTTTTCTGTTCAATATTTAGAAGTATAAATTTTACACACTGTAGCATTCATCTTGTTGGATCTTAAATTGTTAGTGGTTTCACACCACTTAGGCAGAGCTAGTAAAATAAAAAAGTATAGAGCAGATGACTTACAAAATATGTTTATATTGGTTTGGATTGGCAGAGCTTGTAAAAGAGTAGAGAAGTGAGTTACAATATATGTTTATATTGGTTTGGATTAGCTACACCTAGAAAGGGTTACATAGATGGCTACATTAAAATAAATATATTAATTTATAAAAAAATACAGTACTATAACTGTTGATATAGGTGATGATATCATGAGGTTGTAGAATGAATTGATAGTCCATCTGTCTTATCAAATTGACTTATTAGAAGAATTTGCTGAGTTAGACTGCGTGAGTTGTTTGATAATTAGACCAAAGTGTTATTATTCTACTTGATTGGATTAGCTGAACTCAACTCAATTTCTTTGGCAAACGGCATATGCGGAGTTACCTTGGTGAATTGATCAAACTCGGGTGCCGACTTGTGCTCTTTTCGAATATATTTAGAATATTCTGCTTCTGGTCACATGCCTCAGATGATCCTATACTTCGAGTATAAATCTTGGCCTTTTGTTTGGTATGCACATCTCTACTCATCTTTGTCTCCAGCATTAGAAATGCTTAATGAAGTTATGATCTTAGGAGTGAATCATACGCACTGATAGGGCCGGTTTCAAGGTACTGGGAACTTTTACATCAAAAATCTCATCTGCTTCACAATACTGGTTTCTTAGTTTCATTCAGTTCAGTTCCATGGGCTTGCAGTAAATTTTGATAACTTGTGGTAAATTTAATTCGAATGAGTTTTATGATCATGAAATTTATTTTAAAATATTTGTACAATGAATATAATTAATTTATTAGATATTATATTCTTTTAAAAGTAACTTTGATGACTAAAGCTTATGACTGTGGCTTATGACTGTGGCTTCAGTTTGTCGTACTCACTGACTGTCGCGCAAGAGAAGAGTTAGGTTAAATCCAGGTTGAAATCCTACTCTAAATTCCTTTATCAGACAACCCCTTAATGTTTACCTAAAAACTTGCATACATTGTAAAGAGTTATTTATGTACATACCGCCCAATGCTTTGTCTTTACATATCTAACCCCTAAACTTTGCCATTTTATTTGTCGTCTGGCGGCCTCATTGTCCGGGCGCCATCACCGTTTGGCCACCCACATGTGTTTCTCCCCCTATATCGCTTTGGCTGCGTTCTCTTTCTCTCTCATGAGCCGGCCATCTCACCATCGACCCTCTCTCTTCCATCGATCATTTCTCGCGTAGAGATCTCACCACGTTGGCCGCCTCACCACATTGACCCTTTCCCCTGCACCTCGAGTTTCCAGATTAGATAAGACTTGGTGATTACATGAATGAGGTGCAAGAATTTAAGGTAATTGTTTCTTGATTTCTGTTTTTTAAGATAATCCATTTTATGCCAACACTCGGGGAACTCAAATTCGGATTCATGGCAGAATCGACAGTGACAACTTAGTCGTCCGATTAATAAAACATCCCAAAGGGCCAGCTCAAGTATTGTTGCTTAGATCGGACGAAAAACTGGAGATTGTTCTCTGCCTTGCAGTGACAAGCTCCGCAAAGGATAAGTCGACAATCATTCTAGTGAAGGGTCTAGGCGGCCTCCTCCCATAGAGATGACATAACAATCTAAGAGGGAGGTCTGATTGGGCAACCAAGACCCATGCAAGTGAAGTGAAGGGTTAAGCAAGCTTCAACATCTCAAATATCTATCGGTTGCGGTATAAGCCACTCGATCAAATAAAAGCGGTCGGTAGAGAAGCAAAGATCATCCCTCAACTTCCACATTCAAATTATGCTCATCTTGGGACATGGTTCCCTACCCATAGTGACAAACTCCGCAAAGGGCGTGAAAACAATCATCCTGGAGTAGAGTCTAGGCAGCCTCATCCCATAAAGAAGAGACCCAACCTAAGACGGAGGTCTGATCGACTGAGGCACCAAGATGTTCTGCCAATCCCTCAACTTACACGTCCAGATTTTTCTGAAATATGTATATAGCACACATCTCAGAAAAAGAAATCTAATAATTTTGAAATTCATCATAACAAAAATTTGATACGCTTATCCAGAGCCAAAATTTCTGCTTCATTATTATTATTATTTGCAGTTCAGTAGGGTCTGACAGTTACAAGAAAACGACTTAAACATAGTTGACTGATTCATAATAATATTTCTTACCTGCTTTAACCTGTCGTTCAACAAATTCAATTATTTAGTATTAATAAAAACATGTCAAATCACAAGAAATAAAAACAAAATACATAAATTTTTTATTGCACTTAGTATTGATGAAATGAAAAGGTGCAATATGTAATTAAATATAAATAAGCAAGAGGTCGTTTTGAAAAATGAGACAAGCATAGGCCGGCAGGGTTATATTGGAGAAATTCAATTTCATAACCTTGACACCATATCAATTTCCAGTGTATTGATTTATATAGCTGTGTTGATTTATTTCATGATTTTTTATATTGCATAAACAAAATTATAGTGTTGTTATATAAATAATAAGCTATATTATTGGAAGATATACTTCTGCAAATAAATTCTTAAAACATATTTTGCATTTAAGTTGTTTGTTTCTTCTAAAGAAAAGGCATTTCCATACAGAATACACAATTCTTATTTGCTTGCATATCCAACTCTTAAACATTCATATTTACTTGTATACCTCTGAAATTCTTAGCCTCATGTCAATGAAATATACGTTTTCATATCATGCATAAGAGGCAAAAGTGTTGTAAATATAAATATTAAATTTCGGGTGATAATATGTAAATACATAATCATTAGGGATGCATATCTAATTTTTTCTAAAAAAAGACATGAATACCCAATTTATTACAAATGTTGAAACATCTGGTATTTATAAATCAAGCACAGAAATCATTTTTTTTTAGCTGCAATATATTTTAGTATTATCCTTTTAATAAATAAATAAATTACCAGCTGTAGGGCAATAGTGGGAGAAGTTGGCGATCTGATGCTGTTGTGTCTCCTCCCACAAGCAGCAGCAGCTGCTGAATTCTGTACTAATCATTCTCTGCGTCCATTAAATTTTCTTGAAATAAGAAAACCTAAACACCTAATAATAAAAAAAGTTCTTCAATCTCAACTTTATTTACGGAAACGAAAATATTTAATCATCAAATAAGGCTATCATCTCATCTATAAATAATTATGTGCTCATAATTGATGCGTGCTAGGAAATTCATGACGGTAGAATAATGAATTATCGTCTTAGCGTTGCACGAGGATTCAACACATATTTAGATGAAAAGGAATCAATGTGTGATGACACCAGAAGTTTTTACTAGAAAAACCCGTAAATGGGAAAAACTACGAGGTATGACTCAGTTATAAAAATCTACTATAAGTTGATTACAGAGACCCTTTGTCCTATAAACGGGAAAGGGTTACTAGATTTTCCAAGGTACAACGCCGACTGACGGCGTCTGGTTAGCGATGGTCGACGACGGTTGATGACGGTCGGCAGTGGTCGACAGAGGTCGGCGGCGATCGAGTCATAATATGACGGTCGACAGAGGTCGACAGCGACGATGACCAACGATAATTGACGGAGGTTAACGGTGGTCGTTGACCATCGGTGCTGGTGTTGATGACAGACAATGACGGTCGACGGTGGTCGACGGACGTCAGCGGTGATCGGTGGTGGCCGACGACGATCTGCCATGGTCGACGACGGTCTGTGATGACATGGATGATGTTGGACTTAAGCTCCTTCTCAAAGCCTCAATTTCTCTCTCAAGCCTTTCTTTCTTTCTCATATGAGGGGTGAGACTTTATTTATAGTGATCTGGGTGCAATTAATGTTGGAATATGAACCATTTTGATCGGTCGATCCGGAGAACTTCCCTCGATTAGATGACGTTTGATGGACATTTGAGTGCCTTAATGATGTCAGAATTAAGCAAAATTGGGCTCGTTGGATTCGTCTTGTCGAGACGCTCGATTCAACTATGAACTTGTTGAATTTGACATTCGTTTGATTTTTCAGATGTGTCCGAAAATGTTTCAAGAATGATTCAATCGCTTGATCTGGGTTTGATTTGATTCAGATTGGACTAACCTTGATATCACTGGGTCCTTTTCATCGAGCCGGTCAGTTTGGCTATAAATTTATTGAAATCAGAACTCTGGATGATCTTTTATCAAGATTTAAATATTTATTGCTCAAAATATTACCTTGAGATTTGTGTCTGATGATGAAAATTTGTTGGTGGTGTATCAATAATTACTTATTTTAAATTCTTGCCTGTGATTTTTTCTCTTTTCATAATTTTTTTATGTAAAAATTGTGGTGTCTCCTATTTTTATTTGTTTTATCCGTACATACTGAATCTCCTACTATGCTGATATGCTAATTTATTACTTTACTACTGCAGGTCTTTCAACACACATCAAATGATATTCTTAAAATTAATATTTCAATGGATAAGTAGTCATTGTGCTAAATATGATTTTATGAAACGGTAACATTATAACAACGTTTTTTTTATGGAATTTCATTATTATTTTTGTAATGAAATTCAAAAAATAATAACACATGTAAAGTGACATATATATAACAATTAAAATATGAATGTTAGATATATAAATAATAACTGAGGGATATGCATGTAAATCTTCATATGTATTATACTTATTGTTTGAATAATTCCAACCCGCTTTATTGTTATATTTAAGAATGACAATGTACACATATTTGTAAGTTTCTGGTGGGTTTATTTTTGTCTTTTGGGATTTTAAATTCTTTTCTTTTCAGAAAGTCTGAGATCAGCATTCCGAATAACGCTAAATTCGTTTATAATTAATGCTTGGAAATTTTGCACAACCGACCCTAACA